TAACGCAACGACATATTCGTCTTTTTTACCTTTATCTTTATTATAATTTCGCCTTCCTCACGTCATTAATGCTCATCGACCGTGGTCTGGTCATCCATCCTGGATGACAGCTCCAATTCAAGGTCGTCGATTCTACCAGGCCATTGTGATTCTTTCCTCCCCCCGTTGCAGCACGCGACCTGACTTGCTCGTTGAAATTAAGCGACATACGACACGCGTGTCGAAGCGCTCTCGATTGTTTGCGATTGTGTGATAATGGTCATTGGGCACCAATCCGACGTGGCGGAGGAACTCTGCCGTCCGGAGCCGCAGGACGATATTGATTTCCTTCGCAGACTGGACACTGTCCGTCACTATTATCGATCCGCTAAAAAGTTCAGGGCTGTCTCCGGGAAAGAGACCGAGTTCTTTCAGTGTTTCGAAACCCTACGGAATTGCTTTTTACCATTTAAACGGCTATTAAATATTTATTAGTCCCCGATTCATAATTGACTAAATATGATACGCGATTTATCTACACGAGGTTACTGTAATCGTAGTATTATATTTATCAAAATCAGATTTACTTAATATCATTATATTACATTGTACAAGATAAAAGTATAATCTCTAAAGTTTCGGAAATTTGTCATCAAGTGTTGTCTATTCATATTTTCTAAAGTCAAAATTCGTATTATTGCTTTACATGAGCTCGTTTATATTTTTCTAATATATAATGGTTCTGTTTTGTATTTTGTAAATTAAGTGTAATTTTTTGCAGAAATTATTCAATCGACTTATCGAATTGATTAAATCATATTCTAAAACTTGATAATTATATACTCGAGCATTTAACAAAAAATATTCATTATTGTTTATTGCCAGATCTAAATGAAAAATAATATCACGTATAATAAATTGATCTCAACATACGATGGTACATACGAATTTGGAGAACGAATTTATTTATCCTATATATTTTTATGTATTCGCAGAGTACACATCGATCGATAAGAAACAATTGCGAATCGGTGAACAAATTTCGCGGGTGATCGAAGAACACTCGTCGGGATCTTCCGCGCATTATTATTTGAGGAGAGTAAAGAAAAGCAAAAAGTAAAAGAGAAAGTAAGAAAGAGTAAGGGAGACAGAGGCACTGCCGTGAGATGTACTATCTTTTTTCTTTCTTTCTTACAAGGAATACGTTTTGAGGCGTCTAACATCAATTTTTTTGAAATTTGAGTATACTCTAGAGTATGATCTAAATTAAATGACGTCTGATATTTTTTCAAATATGATTTGTCGCAGATTTAGGGGACGCAAAAGCCTGATGTAATTTCGACAACTCGATACGTTCGAAGATGAAGATCGAATACGACTGATAAGAACATTATATAATGCGTCACAAATATGATGCACACACATGCATGAATGCATGCAGTCAACAATGCTTGTACTCGTTGCAATGACGTGCGAAATGTAACAAGCAAGTTTATTGGATAATACATCGCGTAGATGCACACATATTTATTTACAGGAAAAGATTATTTACAATGTGTGAGATTATTTTATTTGATTTTTTTCTAAATAGATTTTATAATTTTGTAATTTTCGATGTTAAATTTTTAATACATTAATGTTCATATAATATAAAAACATTTTCATTATATTTCTATTACATACTACAAGCAAAATGTTAGTTTATTTATATATATATATATATACACACACACACACACACACACACACACACACGTGTGTGTGTGTGTGTGTGTGTGTGTGTGTGTACCATATTAAACTGCTAACAAATAATATCGAGTCCCCTAAATCTGCAGTGTTTATATAAGATATATGTGCAATCTTGTTTTAAAATAACTCTATAGTATATTCAAAAATTGTAAAAATTGAAGACAAACTCGAGACGTTTCCTTAGATCTGTTTAGGTACTAACGTTGGTGTTAGATAATCGTGTGCCGTGTGCCGAGAAGTATTTATATTTCGTGCAGTCACCTACATACACGTTTGTCGTTGGTTTGCTGTTGTTTTGCCAACACGTGAAAGATTTTTTCTTGGATTGTTGCGTACGTTTTTTGCCTTATTATTGATATCACAGTGAGAGCAACATTACTGTTTTCCCATCAACTTACTTCCTTCCCGTCATCCCGTCATCCTTTCCTTTTCCAATAAAATATCCGATGAACATAAGCACGTTCGCACATTTATTACTCACACATTTACTGTGCGTCTTGATGTTAGTTTCTCTTTTTATCGGGATATGATACTTTTTAAAAGTGAAATATAAATATACATTTTCTCTAAATTTGTCGATATAAATGCATTATAAATACAACTTATCAAATACCAGGTATTCTTTAGATTTTTGAACATCCTTTTGAGAAAGGAATAAAAATAAATATTTAATATAAGTATAATTTTTCTCTAATTAATAATTTTAATTGTCTTTCTGTATAAAGATTGCAATTGACACATCAGAATGCACTTGATATATATATATATATATATATATATACATACACACACACACACACACAATA